AGACCATTTTTGAGAACTTAAAAAGATTATTTGCAGTGGAACGGGTCTTAAAGCATCCCTGCCCAGGGAAGCCCTTTGGAATTCAAGCCGATGCCAGCAACGTGGCCGTCGGAGCTGTGCTACTGCAAAAGAACCAGAGTGGGACCCTACAATCCTGTGCCTATAGTTCGAAAAAATTCACTGAGTGCGAGAGGAGGTGGGCGGTGTGGGAAAAGGAAGCTTTTGCGATCCTCTGGGCTCTATTAAACTGGAGACACTATCTAGAAGGGAGCAAGGTGCCTTTTGAGGTATGGACTGATCACAAAAACCTAGAAGCACTAAAGACTCCCTGCAAATTGTCCCCAAAACAAGTACGATGGGCGCAGTACTTTAACCATTTTAACTTCACTCTAAAGTACATACCAGGAGGAAAAAACTTCTTAGCTGATGCTCTATCCAGACTGCCCCAGTACAAAAGCCAGCGTGAAGAGGTTAATGAGACAATTATCTCCAATCCACAAACTGCTTCTCCAAACCAATGGTTCAAGGACAATCAAATCTCCCTAACATGCAGGGATGGTTTGGCTTACAAAGGGGGAAAACTATATTTGCCAGAGACCCTCCGCCTTAATGTGCTCCAACATGGCCATGACATAAAACAGGCTGGGCACTTTGGACATTTAAAAACACTACACCTTGGCTTCCGGTTTCGTAATGCAGCCACCATGGACGGCTGGGAGATTTGCTCTCTCTCCCCCATTCAGTTTTGCATTGCTGGGGGGCCCTGAAAAGGGCCAAAAATCGCCCCGAAGAGGTGACTAGCAAGGAGGAGCTTTTGCTGGATCGCAGGAGAGCAGCAACTCTCCTGTTAGAACTGGCAATCCCTCCAAACTGGCGGATGAAAGGACCAGCCATAGAAATATGGCTCGTCCCTAGGCTGCTAACAGCCAAAGTCACATTAACGTCTGGCAACTTCAAAGCAGCGTGGAAAGGATTGGGTGAGACCTGCCTCTCTTACATCCTAATTACTTAATTACCTGTATAAGCTGCTAAAGTACTTTCCCCCCTGTGGTGAGGGAAGAGGGATTTTAGCCCTCCCTCCAGAAACAGCAGCTATCAACCACTCGGGAGTTTAAAACGCTGGAAAAATACTGGGATCCTAATTGGAATTCTATTTTCTAAAACTGGTGGATTATAAGACTTGTAACTTTCTACTCTCTATTTTTCTTTTTACTTTTTCTTCCCTGATTTTTATTCTAACTACTATTGAAGATTTGGGTTCTTTTTCTCCCCCTTAAAATAGAAGGGGGAAAGAAAACTGAAAAGATCTAACTAACTCTGAGATGACATTTGTTGGCTAAATTTGAGACTGCAACCTCCTATTTTTAAGAGAGACTTGTTGACAGCCTTGAAAATAGATAAGATATAAAGCAACCTTGAAGCATCATCTGCAAGAAACTCAGCTCAGCTCCTTATGTGGTGGACTTTCTGATTGTAAGTTGGTTTTTTTTTTTTTTAGTTTAATACACTACAATGGAAGAAGAACAGGAACGGATTTTTTCTACAGAGGAAGTACAGGAACAAATTCTTTATATGTTAAAAGCAATTATCCAAACTCTTCAAATTCAAACTATGACTTCAACCAAAGAATCATCTATACAGAATTCTATAGAGAAAGTGAAACAACAACCAAATGCTATGACAGAAGACTTAGATACTCAACAAATACAAACAGTGGTAAACACAAAAAAGAAACTGATAATAGAGAATAAGGAAAGGACTTTTCTTATAAACCAGAAGGAATTTGAAGATAAAAAAGAAAAATAGATGAAAGATAAATACTTTGTGACAACTGCATCGAATTGGAAAAACAAAGAGATGACCTGCTAAATCAGCTAGCCCTCTTAAGAAGCAACTGAATGCTCTTATCAATATCAAACAATAGCCACAATAATACAAGGAGATCTTTTTGATGATTTAAAAGCGAAGATATGAAAGATGATTTGGCAGAGGAAAAAAGCTAGAATAAGACTGAAAGGGATTGGGGTTTTGATTTATACATGAGATCCAAAATAGAATATATCTAAATGGATAAAATATGTATTCTGAATATAAGATATTGTAACGATTTGAGATTAAAAAAAATTGGTTTTATAAAATTTAGAAATATAAATATTGAAATAAGAATATTATATTGTTTTATTAGTTTGTTAAGATATATGGTAGAATTTATATATAAGGTCTGTATTTTAAATATTAGATTGTATGAGGAGTTGTGATAAAGGAATTGTGCTTAATTAAAATTTGAAAAGAATAAATAAATATTAAACGTTAAAATTAAAATATTAAGGGAAAATTAACCACCAGGTCACTGATTTGCTAAAAGTTTGAATGTTTACAGATAACTAAGATTTGAGTTTAAGATATTGTCAGCTGCATGAGACACAGGTTAAGTAAAATTTAATAATTACATTCGTATATCGGTTTGTGGTACAAATGATGATGGTTTTTTTTCTCTTTTTCTGGAAAAGAAGAAAGGAAGGAAGTAGAAGGAAGAAAAGAAAAAAATATTAGCCCTAAATATGAGATAGGAGACTGAGAAATTGGGATCATTTAAAATCTGGAAATGATAAAGATTAAACGTTAAATTTAAATATCATTGGGAAATTAAAGTTAAGAAAAACTTATTAGGTTATTGTCTAAAAGATGGAATGTCAAAATTAATTAAGATATGTATAGACTGAAGATTATTGATGAATACTAGAAAAGTATTTTTGTTTGATTGATAGAATAAGAACTGTATTGATCCGAATATGACAGTAGATGTTATGGGGGAAAGAGAGGAAATTAGTTGTTGTAATACTTTGAGATTTGTACTGATGATATTTAAATGTAATGGAATTACTGTGCTCAACCGCCACGCTACTTTTCAAATATGTAAATGTAATATTGGGAAAATTAATAAAAAACTTGGAAAAAATAAAAATAAAAACACTACACCTCATCCGCCATCAATTCTGGTGGCTGGGATTGAAACAGGATGTGGAAAACTATGTTTGGAGTTGTGCTGTATGTGCCACCATGAAAAGAATTCCAGGGAAACCCTCTTGGTTATTGCAACCGGTGGCAGACCCTTCCCAACCATGGGAAGAAATTGCTATGGATTTTATAGTAGACCTACCTGAATGTAGGGGAAATATGGTCACCTGGACTGTGATAGATCTGTTTTCAAAGCAGGCTCACTTCATTGCCTGCAAAGGACTTCCGTCCGCCCAACAACTAACTCAAATGTTCCTGAATCACATCTATAGACTGCATGACACACCTAAACAAATAATCTCTGACAGGGATGCAGTTCACAGCTAAGTTTTGGAGGAGTTTTCTTAAATGAATTGGCTCATCTCAAGGACTATCATCGGCTTTTCACCCGTCTACCAATGGGACGGCTGAATCTGTGAACTCAATGGTAGAGCAGTATCTCTGATGCTATATGGATTATCAACAAACAAACTGGACTGACCTCTTCCCTTTCGCAGAGGTGGCTTACAATAACTCTGTTCACAGCAGCACCGGCTTCACGCCTTTTAAAGTGGCCACAGGAAAAGAGTTCAGCTCAATACCCGAATACCCCCAAGCGCCCTCCGCTTCCCAGACTCTTGATCAATGGGTGAGGGGGCGGGAGGAAGTTTGGAAAACCATGAAAACTGCTTTGAAAAAGGTTTCCGAGACATACAAAAAACAGGCAGATAAAAAAGGCCTCCCCAAAGAACATTCCAAGTTGGGGAAAAAGTTTATCTGTCAACTAAATATTTACGGCTTAAGTTATCTAGTAAGAAGTTAGGACCAAAGTACTTAGGACCCTTTCCCATTTTAAAGATCATTAACCTGGTCACAGTGGAATTAAAATTTCCTAGGCTCTTAGGAAAAGTTCACCCTGTTTTCCATTGTAGCCTGTTTAAACCTTTTCGGGGTTCTACCTTAAGATCTCTCCCTAAGAAGGCACCCAGACCCCTCATGGTGGCAGGACAGATTCACTATGAAGTAAAGCGTATTCTTGATTCTAGAATTTTTAAGGGGAAATTGCAGTACTTAGTGCAATGGAAGGGATGTACGTTGTCTGAGGCCACCTGGGTAAAATCTAGTGATGTAAAAGCTGACAGACTCATTAATAGGTTTTATAAGAAACACCCTAATAAACCAAGAGGCAACCCCTAACCTGTGCTTTGTTTACATTACAAGATTTGTCCTTTTTGTAAGGGGGGCCAGATGCCAACGCTGCTAACATTGGATGTTCTTGCTTTGACAACAGATGGAAATGTAGCCATCTTTTCTCTATAGCTTTTAGAGTTCGTTGATGATGGGAAGGGGAATGTGGATGAGCTAGTCATAACAGTAGTAACTCTGCGGTGGGAATCCAAGGTTATTGCGCCCAGAGTTGACAAAGATTTGGCGGGCTGCAGAGCTGGGGAGAAAGCCCGCGCTTCAAGCTCATTGGGAAATTTATGACTGTTAATTGGAGGAGGGAATTGTGCATTGCTACTTTGTGTGCAGGGAAGGGGAATTCAGTTTTTGGCTTTAACTATGTAGTGCCGATACTTTGTTTCTTGAATAAAATATTCTTTAAGGTAAACAATGCCTAGAAGTTCTTTTGAAGAGTTTCATCTGTCGGAACTATGACACTGGGTATTATTTTCAGGGAAACGGTAATAAAAAAATAGTTTTAGTTCTGATTTGAAAGACTATATTAATTTTAATTCTAGCCCTACCGATACTAAATAATCAATTATGATAGAGAACAGCACTGATAAAGACAGAAAATGTTTTTCCCATATACAGTACTCCTAACAGTTTCTCTTAATGCAGTGTATAGTAGATTTCTGTATGATTCTTCATTCCTCTGATACAGAGTATCCCAAGCTTTCTCTTAACTCTCTTGAAGAAAAATAGAAACTAATATGCTACAATTTGTTAAATGTAGAGCAAAAGGATTATTAGATTAGGAACATTAGTTAATTACTTACTGCATATTCCTCAGGTGTTACTTTCAGAACATCAAAAACTACTGCATCAAAACTTTTCTTCAATTCAGTAGAACCTTTGTCACTCAATGATTCTGAGCTGCTACTCTTCTGTCCAAGAAGAAATAAGTTAACTCAGTACAAAGATGTTTTTGAAGGAGTTCCTAAGTGGTTTTTAGGAGAGATTACTTGCATATTATTGTATCAATTCAGGCAAATGAAAAATTGTCTAGGAATTAGTTAACTTTTGTCCCTGAAAATAAAATTAAGAACCAGTACATGTATAGACTAAAGTGCTAGGCAATGATCAGAGACCTAGATTCAAGTTCACATTAAGGTAGATAAGCTAATTTGGTAGCTTTGGGTCAGTCACTAGTTTTTAAAACACTCTATTTCACCCCATTTTTAATATGAATATAACACTGGAAAAATAAATGATGATACCCAATTAAATCTCCGGCCAGCCATCTCAGATTGTGAAGGTTTGGTCCCAGTGTCTAGAGGCGGTGTAAGTTTGAATGGGGAGGAATAGCTCCTGCTTAAAGAGCATGCAGAAGTCAGCTGTGGTCATGAAGGACTTTGTATAATTCAATTCAATGCACCAGCTATGCGCTTTCCTAAATCCAAGGATCCTTCAGATAAGTCACTCACACCCTTGGCCTGACTATGTGATGTACTCTATATGGGGCAATCCTTGAAGACCACCTAGAACAGCGGTTCTCAACCTTTGTGTGACGGTGACCCCCGTCACACGGATGCGGCGGGCATGCGCGGCGGTGGCCCCACGCGCGGCGGGCATGCGCAGCGCCCCCCACACGCGGCGGGCATGCGCGGCGCCCCCATGCACGGCGCGCATGCGTGGCGCCGCCCCCTGAGGGGGAAAAATGGCGGATCGCGTTGTTTGGTGACCCCCGTAAAATGGTCATTCGACCCCAAATGGGGTCACGACCCATAGGTTGAGAACCGCTGACCTAGAAGCTTCAACTAGGCCAGAATGTGGGGATGTTAGTGATGAGCATGCCTTGGTATGCTTATGTAACAGCTCTGTTTCACTAGCTGCATTTTTTGCCAATTTCTTTCAAGATGTGATTCAAAATGTCGGTCATTACCTATAAATTCCTAGGGTTTAAAGTTAACTAGGGTTCAAAGTTACACACCCTAAAGCTACATATGACCTGTTGCAAAGTTACAACAGCTGCAGTGGCCCTGCAGTCATTCGCCCTTATGGCAGATCATTTGCTGCAACACCTCATTTTCAGAGCCCTGACAATTCCTTGGTGGAAACAGCAGCTGCTTTTAGTGTTTTTTGCACCAATCAGCTGGCTATTAGGAGGCTGCAAAGCTCTCCTGCCTCTTGCTAGGCTTCAGGAAGCTGGACCCTGAATAAAAGCTGCCAGCTTCAAGATGAACTTCCCCAAACATTTTCCTTGCTTAAACTCCTCCTTCCCCCAGAAAGCCACATTTTTTTCAAACAAAAAAAGCTGAGAGGGACAAGTTTGTTGATCTCCCCTCCCCATTTAAGTGGTAAAAATAAAGTCTCTGCCTTTGCTCTTCAAACTCTAACCCTTTTAAAAAAAATTTTACCTCGACTCCAGCTGAAGAGTAGAGGAACAAAAGCAAGCAAAGAAAGAAAATCTTTCTGCAGCTTTTTCTCTCGAACTGGAGAAAAAAAACATTATCTCCAAAAGTTAGCTAACTAGGGCAACGAAATAGAGAAAACTGAGTCTTTGCAAACTTTAGTTGTCTATTTACAGGTAGTCTGCAGTCTAGCCTTTAAGTCCTCCCAGGATCCCCCCCCTATCACTGAGCTCCACTTATGATCTGTGCATTCATTTAAGAAATGCACTGAGGAGAGCAGGGATGGCTGGTTGTTACTTGAAGCAGTTCATTTAACGCTGTCCCAACTTCCAACCCTAATGGGCAGGCTCCATTATGGTTTTAACTTGAGGACTACCTATACTTGAGGAACTGCTCCTCTCTCATAATATCGCTCAACTGATTTGACAATGTAGGGTTGATATATTCTGGGTTTATGGAGATTCTCAGTCATCCAGGTCATAGTTATCCCAAACATGCTTTTCACAAGGCAACTGGACTTTCTTGCTTGTCTTTGAAGATGTTTCGCTTCTCATCCAAGAAGCTTCTTCAGCTCTGACTGGATGGTGGGGAATGGAAAGATTTATACTCCTTGTGAAAAAGCATCTTTGGGATGTTCTGGGTTTGTTTGAATTATCTACTAGGACTCTGGAAGTGCATCATCTCTATAGCAGCACCTGTATTACTCTAGAATAAGGTTCCCTCCAAAGATTGGATGCCCCCACTCTGCTGTTGTTTAGAAGAGTTGTGAAGACCTGGCTCTTCACCTAGGCCAGTGGTTCTCAACCTTTTTAATGCCGCGACCCCCAACTGGTCGTAAGTTGAGGACTACTCCACCGGTCGTAAGTCGAGGACTACTCAACTGGTGCAGCACCGTTTGCAGAATGGGACTTTTGGCGGGCTCAGCAGGGCAGAGACAGCCTGGACAATTCCTATTGGCTTTTGAAAGCCAATAGAATTAGACTCTATTCAAGAGAGTCTATTCTATTGGCTTTCAAAAGCCAATAGAATAAAAGGGAGTAGCACAGCTAAGGAAAAGGGAAAAAAAATGGCAGGACTGCGTTGTTTGGTGACCCCCGTGAAATGGTCATTTGACTCCAAATGGGGTCCCGACCCACAGGTTGAGAACCACTGACCTAGGCCTTAGGGCTAGGCAAAGGAAAATGAGACTTCTTGCTTTATTCTATCTGGTTTGTCATTCTTGCTATCTTTTATCTTTTATTGGTGTTGTTATAATTTCTATGAGCCGCCAGAGTTATTAAGAGTTGGGCAGCATATAAATTTAAATTATTTATTAAAAAATACAATAGAAACCATATTGAAGGTACAACTGAATTCCACTGAATGTACAGAAATGTAAAATGCATTATTAAAAACCAAGTCAGTGAAATTAAAATAGTGAAAATCTTTTGAAATCTTTAACCCTTGTATCAATCTAATCAAAATATATTATACCAAATATATTTATATTTATAAAACAGTGGTCCCCAACCTTTCCGGTTTTGTGGACAGGTGAACTGGTGGTGGGGGAGAGGGGATGGTTCTGCACAAGTGGTGGGTAGGTGCATTTGCACAGCTCCATTTGCCCAAGTGGAAGGCATGAACACCTGCCACTCACATAAATGGAGCTGAGCGTGTGCTTGCTGCATGTTCGCCCACTACTTCCACAGCCTGGTTCCAAACAGGCCATGTCCTGGTAATGGGCTGTAGCCCGGGGATTGGGAACCCCTGTTACAAAAGAGCCATGTTCTCCTCTCCTCTCTTTACCCTCACATAAATTGCAAATTCAACTTGCATAAAGAATCAATTAATAACAATACTCCCTTTTGGTAAAAGCCATTAACATGCAGACACAGGACTCATAAAAATGCTGTCTCTTTATTGTTGAGATAACAATAAAGAGACAGTATTTTTATGAGTCCTGTGTCCATTGTTTTATTTTATTTATTTATTTATTTATTTATTTATTTATTTATTTTAAATTTATAAGCCGCCCCACTCCCGAAGGACTCTGGGCAGCTAACAATAAAAAACACATAAAACATAACAAAACAAACAATGCAAAGACAGTCATCCAGGGGTCAGGTTTTATAAACCCCAGGCCTGCCGGAAAAGCCAGGTCTTAAGTAACTTACGGAAGACCAACAGGGTAGGAGCGGTCCTAATCTCCGAGGGGAGCTGGTTCCAGAGCGTGGGCGCCATCACAGAGAAGGCCCTCCTCCGCAGCCGCGCCAAATGGCACTGCTTGGCCAACGGGGCCTGAAGGAGGCCCAGCCTGTGGGATCTAACCGGATGTAGGGAACTATGAGGTAGTAGGCGGTCTCGCAAATAGCCTGGCCCTGAGCCATATAGGGCTTTAAAGGTAATGACCAACACCTTGAATTGGACCCGAAGACCAATAGGCAACCAGTGCAGCTCACGGAGGATAGGTGTAACGTGGATGTATCGAGGAGCACCCACTATCACTCGCGCGGCTGCATTCTGGACCAACTGTAGTCTCTGAATACTTTTCAAGGGTAGCCCCATGTAGAGCGCGTTGCACTAGTCCAGACGTGAGGTGACAAGGGCGTGAGTGACTGTAAGGAGAGCCTTCCGGTCCAGGTAGGGTCGCAACTGGTGCAACAGGCGAACTTGTGCAAAGGTCCTCCCAGCCACAGCCTTCAATTGATGTTCCAAATTCAGCTGTGGATCAAGGACACCCAAGTTGCGAACCCGCTCCGAAGGGGGTATATTTTCCCCCGCAAGAGTCAACACTGGACAGTCGACATGATCCTTGGGAGGCAACATCCAAAGCCACTCGGTCTTGTCAGGATTGAGCCTGAGTCTGTTAACCCCCATCCAGACCCTCACGGCTTCGAGGCAACGGCCCATCACATCGGCCGCTTCACTGAGAGAGCTCGGGGAGGAGATATATAACTGGGTATCATCAGCATACTGATGAAACCTCACCCCGTGCTGTCTGATGATCTCACCCAGCGGCTTCATATAAATGTTAAATAGGAGGGGAGAGAGGACCGACCCCTGTGGCATGCTGCATTCAAGGGGCCTTGGGGTTGACCTCTGCCCTCCCACCAATACCGATTGCGACCGGCCAGAGAGGTAGGAGAACCACCGTAAAACGGTGCCTCCCACTCCCACCCCTTCGAGTCGTCGCAAAAGGATACCATGATCGATGGTATCAAAAGCCGCTGAGGTCAAGTAGCACCAAGACAGAGGAATAACACCTGTCTCGAGCCCGCCAGAGATCATCCATCAGCGCGACCAAAGCGGTTTCTGTGCTGAAGCCGGGCCTGAAGCCAGATTAAAAAGGGTCTAGATAATCCGCTTCATCCAGAGACCGTCGGAGCTGGAGTGCTCCAGTTGAGTCCTGTGGCCATTGTTTTACATTTTTATTACTTTTGATCATCAATGGGCAAACCATTCACCATAGTGACAAATAACTTCTAGTAGGTAAACCTGGATTTTTCAAATTAAAATAATATTTCAAATGAGATCAAACAATGTTTTCAGTTATGTGATTTTCATTTTATTATATACACCCCCCTAAATCTAATCAGGGAAATAACCAGAGGTACAGTCTGAAGACATAGTCTCCTAGTTTGAAAGAATAGTACTATATAATCATCATTAAAAAAAATGTAAATGTCCATATACGTAATCCTTGGTTAACAACTGGTTGCCTAGCAACTATTTCAAGTTACAATGGACCTGCCAAAACATACTTATGATCTGGTTCTGGAGTTCTGGTTGCTGTACTCCTCCTTCAGTCACATGAATGCATTTTTGGCGCTTGGCAAAACCAGTTCACGTTTATGACTATTTGCAGTACCCCATGGTCATGTGACCATGATTTTTGGCATTTTTTGCCACTTTATCATGTTTACTTCCAGTTACTGACAAAAAACACCCATTGGATAAAATGGATTTCTTTAACAACTATGGTATTCCCTTAATGACCACTGAAAAAAGGTCATAAAACTGGGTACAGATACATGGTTTAACTGTTTAATCACTGTCAAAATTTACAACCATATGTTTAGGTCAATTACAGTCATACCTAGATTGTCCTTTGTTTTCATATTTTATACTGTAAATAGTACATGCCTTAAAATTTTATAGCACAGAGGAATTCTCTGCATACCATAATGTTTAAATTTTCCCCCTTTGTGTACTGCAGTATATATGATTATTATGGACCTATTCTGTTGTTATTTAAGTTGACTGCATAAGACATTCTTTATTTCTTCCTTACCTCTGAAGCAGTAGCTACAATATTAATATTACTGGTCTGTCCGTTCATTAGGGCCATACTGTTTGCATCATTGGCCTTCTGCCCTACATTTGCAGAAGTGGCTTTATTCATTCACGTTCACCCAAGTTATCATTCCTTAAAAAAGAAAAGTAATGTTAAAGATGCATAAGCCTAATACAGCTCAACATACTTTTGCTAATAGCAAAAAATCTAATTTAATGCAAAATACAGTGGAATAAAAAATTACATTGTGCAAAATCACCACAATATCAACTATAATTCAGTTAAATCCTTGAGAACTTTAATCACAACAAACAATAGCAAATTCAAACTAAGAGTACATTACTTTGATGACCATCTGATCCAGTAAACAAGAAAAATATTAGGTATCTAGTTAGTGCTATTATTACAAATGTTAATATATTTTATTCTTCTACATTAGATGTTTATATTGTTTAAGAGATTTATATATCTATAGCACTGGTGCTTCTTAGTATTTATTTTAAAATAGTTCTTCAGCACTATATTACTCAAATATGTTTTTCTTTGTCTTGTCTTGAACATTTTCTCCATCTTTCTACAGCAGAATTTCTATAGCAGGCAGTTATCAAGGAGGACAAATATGTAAAATGCTTCTCTGTACTACGTTTATTAGCATTTTTCATCATATTGGATAAGTAGATTGGCCCAGGTTAAAACACATTTTAGATCTAAGGATTCTTCACAGTTTTGGAGCGATGTAGTATGTCCAATTGTATCTAGTATTAGAGAGATCTAGTTCCTTTCCATTTTAGATAAGTGGGCCGGATAAGATATTGATGGATATTTTGACTTTACAGTAGCAACAGCAGGCATTTCAGATATGGAAGTAAATAGAAGAGAGGACATGATACTAGAACTGCACAATATAATAGTAAATGCAGTGTTCCTTAAAAGTTTGTAAACTGAATTTTCACTATTTGTACACATAGGTAGTCATCAACTTATGACCATAATGGAACCTACCGATCATACTCATAAGTCTTGACAGTCAAAAGTTGGCTCACCTATGTGACCCAATTTTTGGCAGCAGTCATTAAATGAATGCCATGGTTATTAAGTGAATGAATGGTCCACACTGGGTAGGTTTTGCTGAAAGCCAGAAGTAAATGCTGGGTTTTAGAAAAAACTGTTGTAAAATATTGCCATGTAAGTGCAGGACTCTGCAAACTGCTGTAAATACAGACCAGGGGAGTGAGTTGACAGAACTTTGAAACTAGGCCTTAAGTACCCCTAGAGAGGTCTGTAATAACTTTGAACAATCGTTAAGCAACCAGTCATAATTCAAGGACTACCTGTAAATATGCCTGAAAATGAGATCTGTTCTTGACACAAGACCTAAAATTAGATAAAGAGAACCCATTTAAACAAATGAGTAAAAAAAAAGACTTTCATTTATTTATTGACAAAAATGAACCAAAGCCACATATTTAAAACAATATAATTTGAAACTTACAATTTAAAACAAATTTATATAAACAGAAATTTAGAATTCAATAAATCTCGGAGTCATTTTATAAAGCAGAAAGAACTTTGTGACAAAGCAACTGCCTAAGCAAAGAAGCTCATTAAAACAATTTGGAAGGTGCAGGAAGGCCATTGACATTTTTTTCCTACCAGTTTTTTCATTTTTTTCTTACCAGTTTTTTTCATTATACAGTAGCTGCAAGGGTAAGACAACTAAAAGTAATCAGAAGTGCTAGCTTTCAGATTTATGAAGTTTAAAGACTATTAAGGATATAAACGAATGGAAGTTAATGATCTGTTTTGCCCGCTTGTGATTCTGCAGTATTGTACAGGTAGTCCTTGACTTACAACAATTTGTTTAGTGACTGTTCAAAGTTACAACAGCACTAAAAACAGTGACTTATGACCTATTCTCACACTTGACCATTGCAGCATGTCCATGGTCACATGATCAAAATTTGGGAGGTTGGCAACTGGCATATAGTTACAACAGTTGCAGCATCCCAGTGTCTTGTGATCAACATTTGAAGCCTTCCCAGTTGGTTTCTAACAAAGTCAATGGGGGAAAAGAAATTTGCTTAACAACCACACAATTCATTTAATTGCAGTGATTCGCTTAACAATCCTGGCATGACTCAATTAACAACGGCTTTGTTTAGCAATGGAAATGTTGGGCTCGATTGTGGTCATAAGTCAAGGACCATGCGTATCAACTTTTAAAAATGATTTTACATATATATTGCACTAATCTCTAACTATTCTGGAAGAAGAATAATTCAAAAATATTTCACATACACTATTAAATTAATAGCAAGTAATTCTTTAAGACTGGGAAAGTCTGGTTATATACAAAGTTCAAAATAAAAATATCTTCCATTAATGATGACAGCTGCATCTTGAACTCCTGACAGTTCAGGGAGCTAATTTAGCAGATATTTTATACGTTTTTAAAAATCTGTAATGTTTGATACAGGGGAGGAAGCTATGATTCCCAACGCCTCCAAAGGCGTTGAAAGTTACAAGGTATGTGTTTGGTGAAAGAATGACGCTGGTGAGGATAAGATAAAAATGTACTCTTGTTTTCTGAAACATAGTTTTAAGGTATAAAATAATTTCTCAATTGTTTATTGTAAAAAGATAACAGAAGTTGGCATGAACATTGACAACTTGCTAACAATATTGTTTGAGTGTTATGGGTTGCCTACCTTGGCATCTTGAAATGTTGTGATCACAAAATAAGAAACAAATGTGAAGCAGCTTTTAATAAGGGAAAGAATATGGAGCACATCTAAATAATATGTCTGGATATAAATCCTAGATCCAAGCTCTCTGGTTCAAAAATAGAAGAATTTAATCAACCAGCACTAATAATAGAAGATTAAATTAATATAAAAAAGTTAGTTCTACAGATAATCCTTCGTTAACTATAATAACTGGAACTGGATTTTTCCATTACTGAACTATGCGTTGGTAAAGTGTATGAAGCATGCAGTTGTAAATCAGCCCCAAAGAAGGCAGCACAAAAGGCCCCAGCTGGTACACTAGGGGCATGTAGGGCCCCTATGATAAGCAGGTAATGGGAACCAAAAGGGGAAATGTAGGGGAAAGATAGGCAGATAGTGGGCTTCAACCAGAGGCAATCCTTTATTTTACCAAGGCTTGGGACTGGGAGATACGAAGCTAGGAATTATTTGAATTGGGATGGGTCCTTGCCTAATAGGATTTGGTTAACAACAGCAATGGGAACTCCTAAGATTACAATCACTAAGCGATGCAGACACTTTGAGACTTACAGAATCTCTAGCTTTAAAATAAAGTAGAATTAGTTCATTAATTTTTGTGATTTACAGATCAGTTATGACACCACAAATAATATCTCATAACAAGGACATTTATACATATATTTCATTCATTCATATTAAAATGCTTAACAATAAGATATTAATTCAACATGTTTTTGTAAAAAAATATAGAAAAAATTAAAAAGACTGCTTTTTATCTAACTGGTGATCCACTGAAGCCATCTATTTCAAAATTGTGGTAATTCATGCAGAAGCAAAATTATTTCAAAATTGTGCTAAATAATCAAACACTCTTAAATGTAAAACTCACTAATAGTACTTCAGGTACATAATTCAAAAATAAAGTAATACTGTGTATCTAAACTAAAATTAAGTGCTTCAAGACCTTTGGAATGTACTTGAATATTATGGCCATGAGCTCCACCAACTCTCCCATGGCTTGCTTCAGTCAGATCTTCCAACTTCTTGCAAAAAAAAAAAAAAGATCATGCGAAGTTGGGAGGTCTGACTGAACTTTTTTTAGCTTCACAAACTCCGTTTCCCTGCAGCAGGAGAGAAACACACCAGAGCTAGAAAGCAGGTGAGTGTTGAATTTTTTTGCTTTCGGGAAGAGGGAGGAGCTGGGCGATGGTGCACCAAGCTCTATAGCACACTGGAAGGCGAAGTGGCAGGAAACAGGGTTGCCATTTCGAGAACGAAGAAGGGAGACGTGGGGCGATGCAGGATGGCAAGCAAGTGCTCTTCTCTGCTCTGCAACACTGCGCAGAACCACTCCAGTGGAGGCGATGGAGGGCTGGTGGAGGGAAGCAGCGGAGGCTTGTGGCGCCCAGTCATGGCGCAAGCCACAGGAGACGTGGTAGAGGGCAGGTGATCTGTGGGGCGGAGTGTGAAGAAAGCCCTTCCAGCAGTGCACAGCGGCAGTGGAGCCTTTTACCGTCACTCCCTCCTGGCGCCGAAATGGCGGAGGGCGACCAGGTATACCCCGCCCATCCTCTGTACAGTAGCATGGAAGTCTGGCTTGGGAGGGGAGTGAAAGGGAGCAAGGAATAACCTGGCTGGGGTGGCCCTGAAAGAAGCAGGTATGGGGCACGTGTGGCAGCTCCACCCCCTCCCCCACCTGGTTGTGGTGGCAGCGGCGTGATGTGCCGCGTGGCCTCCTGCCCCATTGCGGACGGAGTGGGCGAGATCCTAATTAGGGCTTATTTTTGGAGTAGGCTTTATATTAGGGAAATGGGGAGGGGGGATCTTCACACAGCTGCAAAACTTATCTGGAAAATTCTCACATTTTTGTTCCCATCCCAGATCAGTCAAGATCAGATCCTGCGGTCTTGTAGTCTTTTTAACAAAAAACCTAAAATTGCCTTTGAACTTCTGCACAGTCTTGAGTGTGCATTGTTGTGTACCCAGGGCCTTGGGCATATCTCTGCTGCTGTCAAAAGAGGTCTCCAAGAAGCTGAAGGGAGAGCATCTTGCTTGAAATGTTATACTTTTATATTTTTGATAATATCAACTTGTTAAAGTTATTAAGAAAACTTAAAATTGCCTTACTTTTGTTTATTATCTCTAGATCCTCAAAGAACCAATTGTCTGGCCTCTGGCCACAGCCTAACACTTGGTAAAACACCCTACCTTGATTTTGGTTAGATTCTGTTGCCTCTGTTCTGCCTATGTCTTGATCTTTCTTACCACAAATTGCTAACATCTTCTAGTAAATGCTATATCCTATATATGCAATAACTCTGCTGATTCTTCAGGTTAATAGTATCCAACTTTCATCAACATTTAATGGCAGTATTCAATGGGAACCGTCTATTTAATAATGTAACC